TTTGCTGCCCTAAAACACTCTGTTCAGGCCACCTTGAAAATAAAGGTGTAGTTGGCACCTTGCTAGGTATAGAGACCCAGGGTAGCTATAGTGCAGCTACCAGGTATAGTACTTCAAGTTCCCTTTCCGTCAACCGCTCGATAGCCTCTACGCACAGCAATCCACAGCTTTGAAGTCTCATTCGTGCTTTGAACTTGTGTAGGTGTGTAAGAGGTATAGCAACATAGTATTTATACGGACCCAGGCTAGCTTCAGAAGAGCACTCCGATACTTCACTTACAGCACTCCTTGAAGGGCATGAGTCGCTTGCGCATAGCCACCAGAAACAAAGGATCTTAGTCTTACTGGAAGTGGAATGAAACACCAGGACCTTCAGAATGACCTCTTTGGAGTCTCCAAGTGACCTCATTCGGGACTAAGTGACTAAGTGACCTCATTCTGGGATCTCGGACGGTCACTTTGAAGGTCCTGGTAGACACCAAATGATGTCAATGTGGATAGATTTGGCTACGGCCTAAAACATCGGATTCCATCCAAACCCCCCCCTGTGCAGAGGAAAAATCCGGGCAAAATGACACCGAACCCCTCAATTGCCAGGAAGCGCAGGTTTTTCTTTTGACATGGTTACCTCTGTGTGGGCAGAACAAGACATGAAGCAGATTTGACACGCGGCCGCAAGCAGCTGCGCGAGCTCATTTGCTTGCTTCGACGCGCAGTTGTCGAGAAAGGGAAGCGCTGGCTTTCGTTTTGCAGCTTCTCAGGTTCCAAGTATGAACATTTGGGACTTACAACCCAGCAACTAACCTCTTATACCTCAAGCAATTGTCCTTTTGCCACTGCAATCAAAAGCCCACTGCGCAAGAAAGTCTTGTGACGCAAAAAGACCACTTGCGTCACAGCCGTGATCTTTGGATCTCAGGCGATTTGGCTGTGATTTTGGATGCGTTGTTGACGGCCAACCACCGTCACACACATCTCATGAAGACCGTGTCACGTGAGCCTTGTTCGCACTGGAGTGGACTATGCTGTTCCAAGTGGTGCACTTGGCACTTGGCAAAGCTGGTACCGACCATAAGATTCTTTGTGGTGCTTAGGTCCAAACCGATTTGTTTGGAAAAACATCACACAGAACACCACTTGGTTGGGATTGGAGTCAAGAACTTGATTCAAAGGGTATATATATATAATGTATAGTTGGCTGTGGGTGAATACCAACATCACTCGTCCAACCCGCCCCGGTTTTTGCAGGATTCTTACGTGATTACTCATGGGCAGGCTAGAAAAGATTCTCAAGAAACTCTCAAGCACACAACTAGCGCAAGAAACCCAAACAGAAATCCCAGTGAGTGCTCTAAGACGCTGGTAAGTGTGATGCCAATGCCAATGGTAAAGAACTGTCACTTCTTGTCTTGTTGGTAAAAGCCATGTTTGGGATGGTGCTCAGTTGTTCCATTTGATTCCCACCCAACGAGGAAAACAAAGGAGATCCATCCACAGGGGACAAGTCGAAGGGCCCGGACCAGTCGCGTTCGAACTCGATCGATCTCGTTCAACGTGGCCTGTCGTTTCCCCCTTTCGGTTGGGCCCGGCAACCGGCCACCGGGCACCGACCACCGAAACACGTGGCCCGACCGAAGTGTGAGGAGTTGATCGATGACGTGGACAAGCTGTCCTTGGTCGAGGCCGCGGTGATCCTCAATGCCTATGCGCAGTTTAATTGTGCTTTGGAGAGTGGAATTTCTGGTGGGAACAGATGGAATTTCTGCTGATGTCATCCCATGTTTCACAGGGATGATCCAAAACGTTGCATCGGAATTTGCACACCTGTATGATCGTTTATGAGTTCATACGATGCTATCATACGATGCTATCCATATACTCTTCAGGTAGTGCAAGTGCAGTCATCCTAGAGCATGGTGAGCAGCACTTGCCTGTTACAGGCTGTGCGCAGTGCGAAAGAAGAACCGGTGGGTCCTCGTGGTGCAGTCGTGATCCGAAATCAAGGACATGGATCGGTTTGCACCAAAAAGCTAAGTCATGGATCCCCATGAGTTTGTCCAACTGGGTGGTTCTTCACTTGAGTTTGGTCCCTCACAGACATGAAGGTTGCTGGCCGAGTTTCACCAATGCCGACCACATCGGAATTCTTCGGATGGCTTTGGGGAAGCTTTGTATCGCTGGGATGGCTTTTTTTCGGCGGTTTTTGGCTATCATCCGTCGGGCGGGCAGGTGTTTGGACCCTCATTGGAACATTGGAATGAGGGTGTTGATTCTTCATAAGCGTTTGGACCCTCAAAACCTCCTTTGACATGAGGTGAAAGCAAGCTGATGCTGAAGGCGTTTGCAGAACACGTGGTGAGGCGGGGGCACTGGCCAAGCTGAGGGGTGTGCAGGGTCTTTTTGGAAACGCATACACTGAGCAGTCCAAGTTGCTCCATGCAGAAAGTTTGTGGGAACGCAATGAAGCTAATCCATTTTTTGTTCCACCACTTCTAGCAACCTAGCTCGCGGTCTCAGACCACGGAGAGCTTCAAAGTCAATAAAAAGACTTCCAGTAACCTTCTGCACATTCGTTCCAATGCCTAAATATATATATATATATGTTATATGGTTCAGGCTCACCCTTTTGACATCTATTGACCCTTTCGCACCCTTTTTGTTTGAGGCTGCTTTCCGGGCAGAGCTACACCAGCACGGAGCCTGATGAAAGGCCGTCCACCGCGCCACGTCGCGGGGCTACTACGTGTCGCGCGCGTCGCGTGTCGCGCGCGTCGCGTGTCGCACGCGTCGTCCGCGGAGCATGAGTGGCGCCCTGTGAGGTATGGGTCCCAGGCAGCAGATCCGCAGACCTTGGCGGCTTCTTGGTGGAGAGCCGAGCGGCGTCCAGTGAGGAAAGCCATATGAGAGAGGTGACAGGTGATTGGGAGTGGGTTTTTGAGGACGATCAGTAGGTCGATAGATTCAGGATTTGCTGCTGAAGTACTTGATGCATCTTTACACATTCCTTTACACATCGGCAGGTGGAAGGTTTAGAACCTCAGAGTTCTAGAAGAAACAAGGGAGAAGTATATAAGTCGCCCAGATCGTGGTGAAGTTTCATGATCCTGCAAGGCTGGCAGGTTCTTCCAAAAGGAACTCAAACACTTCTACACCCAACCTGTGCCTTCAGAGCACCCACAACCTTGCAACCTGTTCAAAGCTACAGTTTTATCCATGTTGGATGCATGGGATTGAAGGAATCCAAAGACTTTAAACAATGTTCAATGGTTTGTCCGTGTTTGTTCTATTCTGGGTGACAAATCAACCCACCATACTTTCCAGAGCTCAACAAAAATGAAGACAAACAGAAACTCTGAACTGCTGTGCCCCAATCTGGGATGGTTTTTCCTGCAGGTCCTCAGCAAGGCCGTTGCCACGCTCAAGTACCAGGCAGCTTGGTGTGCTGGAGACGGATGTGATATTGACATGTCCATCCATTTTAGGCACTAACCGTGATGGTGTTTTCTTTTTTTAGAAATCCGTGAAATCGTGTCATGTTTTGAGCAACATGTTATTGTTGTTTCTACTGTAAGTGGTCGTCAATTTATAGTTTCAGAGGCATAGCAATTGTTTGTTGAGGATTGGTTTCCATATGTTTCCATGGTGTCCACTTAACAACAGCATTCGTAGAGTGGTTTCAGACACTTCTTCTGGGTGGCTTGGTTTCTATACGACGGTACGACAGTTTACACTCTGACATCACATACCCCTGTTTGATAGCTTTCCGTGTGGCTGAACTAAGCAGGTCAACCGGGAAGATTTGGTATCCCTTTGTCATTCCAGCTGACTATAGAAAAAGGACCAAGCAAGTAGGATTCTATCGGATGCTGTATTTTTCTACAGGTGTTGTTTTATCCAGCTCATTGCAGATAATAGCAGGGCTCAACAAGCAGAGCATAGCAGAGGTTCCCAGGGATATCCCGCGAGGTCACTGTGATGAAAACCACATGCAGATCCTTTAGCAAGATCGAAAAAGACCAAAACTAAGTGCAATGTGATTACTGCTACAGTAAGGAGCATCAATTTTGACAATCAAGCGATTGGAGGTGGGGGATTCCAGCGATTGGGGAGTGCAATTGTGCTCCTTTCGCAGCGATCCTGAGCACCTCTTTCTGGCTCCATGGTGTGGCACCTGGGCCTTTCCTGGCCTTCTCTTCGAAGGGTCACCATTATGGTTTATGCGTTCTTAAGGAATAAGGGCATGGATCCTGTGGTATCTATATATATAGGGGTGGTTCATTCCCTCATTCCCTACCAGTCGCACGAGTCTCATGAACAGGCCAGTTACTTGAAAAGGACTCCGGCTTAACGATGCTTGAAAAAAGCGGGGGATCCTTGTCATCCCAGTCAGTTGGGAGGGAATTTCCCTAAACCCTAAACCATACTGTAGAACCGCACTGGACCGCACTGTAGAACCGGAGAAGATCCGGTCGGTGTGACCGGAGGTCGAAAGTCGGTGAAGCGAACCGGACCAAGTGATTTCCTGAGGAACGTATGGAGCTCGTGTCGACCTTCAACGAACGGAGCCCCGAACGAGTTCGGACGAACCAAAGGTTGGCCACCACGACGCTTCTCGCTCGCCAGGATGCCGAGATGATGCGTGCGGTGCGCTCGGCGCTGATCGATCGGATCGAGGACCCGCGTCCCGCGGGGCGCGGAGACGTCTTCCGCCACGCTGCGCGGCGGTCCTATAAACCGTCCATGGAAGGTCCTCCGTGACAGAAAGCAATTGGTGTTTGGTGGAGTGACCAGGGGCGAAGCATTAAAACTGAGTCCTTCTTGGCCGAACCCGCAGACATGCAGTGGTTAGATTTGATTTCACCAACTGCGTCGCGAGGGTTGGTATTTGGAAGAGCCTCATTCATGGAAGAGTTGATATTTGGCTGGCCTTCCTAGTTGTTGGGTCCACATGTTGGGAGTGGTGAAAAAGCTTCTGTTGCCCTGATTCGTGAGGTGCTTACTTAATATGAACACCACATTAACCTTCAGGACCATCCAAGAGGTGCCCATTTGAAGCTGATACATTTATCCATGCCAATTGGACACCTCAAAACAAAGGTCCCGGCTGTGACACGTCTTGTTTAAGGGACACATGTTGGGGTTCAGGATAAGATCCCTCCCAGTCAGAAATGTGGTCAACAAATCCGGACCCGCTATAGAGATAATATTAATCCAGGACCTTCCCAGTGACCTCTTCAGGATTGGTAAGTGACCTTTTCAAGGCCTAAGTGACCTCATTCTGGGATATCAAAAGGTCACTGGGAAGGTCCTGGATATTAATTAAATAACCAAACTTCTTGTGGTGGAGTTCCCTATCGCAACCCATCTTCCTCGACCAGGCTGCAAGGTGACTGCTATGTCAATTTGGGGGGCCATGGGTTGGACCATCCGCGTTTGGCCCAGTCTGGCCCTTTCGCATGGCCAGAGTCAGAGCTATGTAGATCCGAGGTCGGCTCAAATGTGTTTTTGGTAGCTTTGGTGAAACGAAAAGATCTGTAGTTGGATCTGAAACTAAAGTGTGTGGCTGGGCTTGGTCCCTCGAGCTAAATTTGGGTCCGGACCAAGGTCAGCAAGCAGTGCCCACAGGAAAAGTTTGATCACACGGTCCTCATATCATTTGTCACAGACTCCTGTGGCCATAATATGGCACAATAGGTACGGAAAAACCGTGTGACATGTGACCACCCAACTCTTGTAGAAGTTGCTGGTCAGGTCAAGTAGAATGTGCTCCCAAGTATGGCCGACTCTGAATGCACGCGGATGCCACGCTTCTTCAGCCGTTTTGGCACAAACGTGCTCGTGGAGTGTCGTGGACTGTCGTGGGGTATTCACACACCTTCCACTTGTGCTCGCAATGTCGCAAATGTACGTGCTGAAGCGTGATGGAAGCAAGCAGGACTTTCCCGTCATGACTGGGCCATGGCAGGTCCATCAGATCCGGGTCAAGCATTCCTGTCACATGTTTCGCCCATGCTGGCTGGCTTGATCTGCCACTTTGAACATCCAATGAATTCCATCGAATGGGGGATCCTGCGAAACGGTTTCAGTAATTAGAAGTCCTCCCCCCGGCAGAAAGACCCGTGACCCTGACATGCTGCGGAGGGGTACACTGGGAACCGAACAGGGCATGGCCCACGCACATTTGCCAGCCATGGGCCATGGGCCTAGACCGTTTGCGACCCTGGGTCTGTAAGAAGCAAGTGGATTGTATTGGCCTCTAACTTAGCGGTTTTGCGGATTCTCTCCAATTATATAATTGCTTGGAGAGAGGGTAGATGTTGAGACGATGTTTTTGGACGAGTCTCTTTTGAGATGCAGAGGAAGTGAAGTTCGATGCCATCACTCAACGCCTCCGACCCCTTTGCGAAGGCGAGACCTCCGAAGGTTTGAGGATAGGTATACTAGGTTGTATTCTGAATACAAGGTCCAAGTGGCGTGGCAGAATCAACATCTGCGTGTTCCACTATCTTTCTCAGGCGGCCTTTTTAGTAGAAGATGCATTTGCACACCAAAAACGACGGCTTCATGAATGGTCTCTGAGACTTTTGACACCAAATCTGCACTTTGCAGACGAAAACAACTGGTTCAACCAGAGGAGTGAAGACCGACATTTTGAAGAACACATTTCACAAAGCATCGCGCCACAGCAGAGCATCACTAGAAGCACATGAAAGAAGAACCATGAAGAACCTATTCAAAAGGAGGCCCCTCCCATGATGGAAGTGCAACTCCAGTTGTTTTGAAGCCCATCATCAAATCAATTCTAGAAAATCCAATTGACCATCTTTAAAGACTCACTCCTACCACCGAAATCCTGTGGAGAATTGCCAGTTGGACCCTGTGGAAGGTTCGGGAAATAGACAAACCAGATTCGGTGGGCGAACGGCGGCGATGCAGTCGAAGCAGTGTAGATCATTGCTGAGAACTGAAACCGCCTACTCAGTAGAATGTGTTTACAACACTTCTTTTGGATTCTGTTGCCATCCCAGTGGTTGTAGATTCTACATGCCTAATGAACCACCGGGGACTAGCTTGCTATCAGGGTGGAGGCCATCGCAAGTACGTAGGGTGGAGGCCATCGCAAGTAGGGTGGAGGCCATCGCTAGTAGGGTGGAGGCCATCGCTAGTAGGTTGGAGGCCATCGCAAGTGAAACAAAAAGAGAAAATGAAGAAAGGTCACACAGTTTCTTTGCCCAATGAGGCCTGGACGCCAACTATGTGGACCCAGTGCCGGTGACACAGAAGGTCATCGAGGTGGCGGCTCAAACGTGGCACGAGCGGGGAAGAGGAGTCACTAAGCCCTAGGGCCCTAGGGTTCCGAATGGCCCTTGGCATCCTCAGGTTCTCTGGTCTTCGACCTGGCGCCCACCCTAAGCACCTTCGAAACGGAGGGGGCGGCCCCGTCCACGACCAGACCCTCCGGTTGGTCGCCGAGTGGCGACGTTTTCACGTCTTCCTCGGTTCGAGTCCAACCGAGGTCTTTCAGGTTTTGTGGGGCCTTGAGCCTTGCGCTTCGAAAAGAGGGAATGAATTCGTTTTTTCGAAGCCCATCCTCATTCCCAATCCTTTCGTCGCACCAGTCACCGACCCTTTCGCCGCGAAAAGGGCTTCTACAATGGCATCGCCACCGCCGAGATCGACACCTTAGCTGCCGAGACGCCACCGGACCGAAAGGCGAAGGCGAAGGCGGAGGTGGAGCTCACGGGACCGGGATTGGAAGCATCTATTCGGCCGTGTGAACAGTGAGAGACCCCGCCAGTTCGCCGACCACACAACAATGAACATAGAAGTTCAACAGCACACAACAAAAGTGGGGCCGGGGGGTGTCTCCCTATTAACATCTATTAACAATATACCAATCACGTGTTTCTCAGATCATGATCTTTGGATCTTAGGAAATGCAGCAAGTTTTTTTATTTGGAGATAGATGGTTTAGGACGTGGGGCATCCTACTTCACAAGTAGCGTATACCATCCACATACACCTTTTCTACTTTCCAGTAGTTTCTCCAAGTGTAGGTCGTGTATTGAATGCTTTTGCCGCATATGCTTAGGCATGTGTTACAAGTGCATGTCCGCAAGAAGTTGTTCTTTCATGATCCACTGCTCCAGAAACTCCAGCATGTTCTTTCAGCCGTGTCACACGGCTGATCAATGAGTTTGACGAACCATTTGCAACACACAAAAGCCCCTAAATAACAAGGTGCTGCAGGATTTGATTGTCTATCAGATATCAAGCGTGGGGGAGATTTGTCCAGCCTTCCACAGGAACCATAATACTACAGTGGTGTGAAAAGTGTGAGCAAGGATAAATGTCGAAAGCCACAGATAACTGAGGTCTGTTATAAGCCTCAGGGCCCTCGGATGGCCCAAGGTATTGGATTTGAATCTGAAGGTGCAGTGATAAGCAGCTCAAGGAGTTTGATTCGAACATAACATCTATAGCTAGCCAGTCGATTGGCTAACCTGTCAATCCTTTCAGTTTGTTTCCTGGTGACTTGTGTTGCCCTTGGGGAAAGGGCAGAGGGCATGGAGCAACATGATATACCTGTTCAGCTCATGTCATCTCATAAATGAAATTTATTCAGCTCCTTCTCCCTTGTAGACAAACAGAGAGCTACCAGGTCCCAGGGTTTGGAAACAATACAGCCAAGGTACACAAGGTAGCTAGAGCCACATGTAGTGGATGTAGTGGGCCTCGGACACTTGCCCTATCCAGGATGCTCCCACTTTTTGTCGGCTTGCACCTAATCGTTTGTCTAGATTGCCTAGACATGGACGTGTGCAACATTGGAAACATGGCATGCCTTGTTCCTATCAGGGGCAAATACGCGTAAATGTTTTGGATAGAACCAAAGAGTCTCATCAGCCGCACAGCGCCCAGGTGTGCTTACATGTCTCAGAAGCATCCTGACTTTTCCATCCTTGCGGCGCGTATTGCTGTTTCGAACTTGCACAAGAACACCTCTGACTCCTTCTATGAGACCCTCAGCTGTCCATAATATGACTTTGCAAGTGACTTTGCTGTGTCACACTGGAGCCTTTTTGGGTGGCACCCAGTTATGTTAGACATCGAGATATCATCAAGAAGATTAAAGAGGGATGAATTTGCTAGGTGCAATCCACAGGCCCAGCAGGAACATGGCCATCGTTTCCACTCCACTTGATGATGCAAGCTCTTTTGTCCGGGCCCCCTTTTCAGGACATGCAAGCTCTTGCATGGCTACGTGGACGAACAAGGGAGGCCAGCAGGTATGATTGCAGATGACATGTGGGAGTTCGTGCAAGCGCATGCCAGCGCCATCGATGAGGTGAGAGCGCTTCCGCGCTGCCGCGCATGAATCCGGTCGGAACAGCAAGCGTGTGGTCTTCGGAGTGTGTAGAAACCCCGTCTTGTGGTGACCCCAAGCGCGTCTTTTTGGGAGAGTGTTTTGGGGTGAGACCTCAAAGGGGAATCCAAGCTCATGTGTCCTAAATCCGTTTGATCGAATGAATGTCACTTCTTTTGGAGGGAGAGAGACTTGAATGATTTAGGTTGAGTTTCTTTCGGTTACCATGATTATACCATATGATACCCCAGGGCCCCAACTACCTCCTGAGAAGGTGGTTAAGGGGTTTAGTCCTTACCTCCTGGCGTCTAACCACCTTCTGAGGATATGGGCCAGGAGCACTAGATATGAGCTTGTGTGGGGAGTTCATCACAAACCAAGGACTCAGAGAACTCGTTCAGTGCTTCAATTGAAAAGTGCATGAACAATTCACATCCCGAACCGGGCGGCCTGGTCCATACGGATTTGCACATGAAGCGCCTGGGATTTCAACGGTTTTACATGGAGTTATGGCAACGTTCCAACATCCAGAGCGTCCGACATGGATCAGATCCTCGTCGCCGGCTCGCTCGCGCGGCGTCCCAACATCCAATGCGGCGCAGACGTCGGTGAATTCTGTCCAATGCAGGCCTCAACGCGACGTGAAAGTGACGAGAATCCTCAAGAGCCAAATGCCGTCCAAGCTTTTCCAGACCTTATTCAAGCAACCGCATTTGTTTTTACTATCTTTGACTGATTTCGTTTCAATCCAGCGATCTAGGACACTCACAAAAAAGAGAAACGCCAAAAGGATTGCGTGTGTGGGTGCCAGTTGGACGCTGGCAAGAACGAACATCCACTACAGAACTCAATTGGACCAGGGGTATTCCCATTCGAGCTACACACCTATGTGGGTTGCGTTTCCAGTGCTGGCCAGCCACTCTGATTTACATGCTTTGGAATGGGGTCAAACCAGCCTCCGACCCAGAACGGACCAGCCCCGGAGGCCGTGGATCACCACGTCGTTTCTGTCGCCGAGATGACTCGACATAACGTTCGGACAACCAACTGTTGCATACGTCCCCCATGGCAGCGGGCCTCAGGCCATTGACTACAAAAGAGACTTTGGCTATGACTACTTCGGCTTCAAGACCATGGAGAAGTCCTACCTCTTGCGCGTGAAAGGAGAGAGGGTGTCCTATGGTGTCCTGGGCTGCCATGGGCTGCCCAGCTCGCAGCTCCAATTTTCGTGTCGTTCTTTTTGTTCTTTCCTATCCTCCGGCCTCCGGCGCATGATTCATGGGCGCATCACTCTCCTCGTGCGTGAATGGGCACATCCTATCTCCACCAATGTTCGCATCTTAAAGTGATAGGCAGAGATTTCACGCAAACAACATCAATCACAGTGGTCAGTGGCACGGGGTCGGACGTGCACGCGTCTTGGGGTTTCTTTCGGACAGTGCACGCGGTGTTCACCGCCGCCGTGTGGGGGAGGAGCCTGTGCAGAACGTCCTCAGCACATGCTGATGCGCAGCTTGGTTTTGCTTTATACTTGCTCCGGCTCCGGTCAGAGCGATGGCCTCCAACCCAATAATTAGATATAATTAGTGTCCGATCGCTCCGTTCAGAGCGATTCCCGTTGTTCCCAGTAGCGAAGAACATTGCTCCTTGTAGTAAGGCCAGGAGCCCCGTTCGTAGCGTCCTTGCTCCTAAGAGTATAGGGTGATATGCCTGTGGGTCAAATCCTGGGCCTAGGTTTGACGGAAATAAGCAGATTCCTCATGATTCCTCTATAAGGGGATGTCAACCTTCCATTGTTGGGTGGAAGAGGTTGAGTTCCAGAACGCCCGATTTCATATTCCCAAACCCCTTCAAAATCACCTGGAAGAATCACCTGGTTTTGTGTGTTCTTTTGTTTCCCAGGCAACACCCACGCCACGAACGGAACAGGCAGTGCGTGTGGGATTCACTGTGGAAACCTGAGAGCCGCCCTGGAGACCTACGACCTCATGTCGAGGACGAAGTGCGGAACCGGTGGGGCGGGAAAGCCATAGAGACTGAGGTCAAAAACGTGTTTTTGTTTGGAATGTGAGATTTTAACAAGTAGAAGATAAAGCAGAAGGTGAACATGAGCTCCTAGATGCTACTACACAGATTCTATGCTGGAATCCGGCAAGTGAACCTCGGTTTGGTCTTGCATTCAATGATGTTTCAGTTGTTTCCTTGCACCTGCCTTGCTCTGAAACAGCTCGGGGATGAGTTCCCACTTTTTGGGCAAACTTCCGGTTCGAAGACCAGGAAGTACTTCACTCATGCTACGCCCACGCTCTTCAACGCAGGGACACCCAAGCCCCAGATGTGTCTTGGCTTGTGACGGCCAGGATTGATTTGAAGGACACATGAAACTTCTAGGTGTATGATTCTATTTATTTATCGTTTCTAATAGCTTCTTGCTCCTAGTAGTACGGCCAGGAGCCTAGTAGCGTCCTTGCTCCTAGTAGTAAGGCCAGGAGCCCCTAGTA